CGCATCTAGAGTCCCATCCAGCAAGTCATCCATTAAAAACTGAAAACAATTTCCAATTTTCAGACTGCCTCACCTACGTACAGAGAAGTAGTGGAAATAAACTCACAAAACATGGAAGGTGACATTCAGGGGCGGAGCTAGATGGGGGACCGGGGTGGCCAATCATTGGCCATTTTTTCCCATACAGAAGGTGGCAGCAGCAATGCTCTCAAAGGGGAATGTTCAAACTTATTAAACATTTTAATTTTCCATATATTAACAATTACTTGACAACTAAAACGCTGTGGTTAATTATGCACATCAATATACTAACATTAAGGTTTTTCTGAATTAAATTTTGGGTTATTTGGGGTAAAGAGAAAATTATGTGTGTCTGCAAGTCAACTAGGAGCCTTTAGTGAAATCATAAATAACTACTTTATTAATAACTTAGAAATCCATTTAATGTAGATATTAGTACATTTAAACATTAATTTTATGCAGAACATTTTTTGATAAAAGTAGGTAAGTAATGACAATGGAAAAGATGTTTGTCCCAGAAATGTTGTCCACTATACCTTTAATTTAACCAGTATGGATGTTTAAATGAATGTGTTAGCAAAGGCTGCAGGAAAGTATAGTATATCTTTATTTAGAAAACATGGAAGTTGTGCTCGTTCCTGTTGGAACAGGGTACATTGACCCTGAGGTTCTGGTGCCGATCCGCTTTCAGTCCTTCCTCACCTGTTTTACCTCATTAACATAACATTTCTTAACATAACGTAACATATAGACAAAGATCCGTTTGGAAAGTCGTACAATAGAAACCAAATAGCTGTAAATAAACCTTTTCTAACGTACGTTTAATTACAATACCCTCTGAAAACCGATACGTGCCGAGCTGGGTTACTTATGAATGTTTACACACCACTCTAGCACGGTTCCTCGCCTCCTAGTGGCGATCTACGGTACTACTGCTCCCTACTGGTAAACAAGCAAACCAACATGGCGGCGCCCGTAACATTCAGGAAGTTTTTGCTGAGACTCAGGCGAAATAGGCAGCCTTTGGTGAAGTTTAGTGATGGGTTAATGAGGCATCTTAAAGCCAAACTGTATTTATGCTGCTTTACTGTCTCACAGAATACTGACACCTGCTGGACATTTAAAGGCACTACAGGCAGCTGATTTTACAGAGTAAAGTGATTTGATGACCTAGAACAATGATAGAATTGAAGTTATTGTAGGTTATATATTGTATTATTTCATATCTAAGTTTAAATTGAAAATATCTTTGATATTTTTACATGCAGGCAATAAATTATGTAAACGTATATCACAAACGTGAACATTTAGGGGAAAATGTAAGAATGCGCATGGACTAGAATTTTTAATAATATTCATTTTAAAACAATAAGTACAGTAGAAATGGTAAATAAACTAGGAGTCAATTTTAAAATCACCTTTAATTCAGATAAGATGAGTGATAACTGAGAGGAAAAGTAGGAAACAACGAGAAAATTAAAATAAAAACGGCTGAAATGTTCCTATTCCTTTTAGGCTGAAAATTCTTGATAGTTTTAACGATAAACCGCAAAAGATGAGACTTTTTTTTTTTTAACAGATGAATGTGTTGACAGATAGATTTTTAAACCCAGTTTAGTGAGTCAGTCTGTTAAATAACTCCTGTATCAGTCACAGGACTTTCTGGAAACGACACGTGCACAGATACGATGTTTCGCTCTACGGGCTCCACGCATGCACCGCTGGAGCCATCACTAGTGAATGTTTTTGATAGAGTCGGCTTTTGGGAAGTGAATACGACAAACGATAGTCTAATCAGGGCTTAGAGACGCAGGAAACAACGCTAGACGTTGAGGTTCATCACACTGCTAAGCAGAATCATCACTGGAAATCTTGTGGCTCGGTAGGGAAGCTAGGATTTTTATGATGTCTGAAATTTCACGATGATGGAGACTGACTGTTAGAAGATGACGCGGTCTGCTCATGAGCTCTTTGTTATCTAAGAACTAAGCTAGAACTGAACCGCGCCGAGCCCTACTGATGAACTAGTATCATGTTAGCACTAGGGATGGGCGATATGTTATCGTGTGCGATATATCGTCAAAGAAATTCCTCATGGTATCAATTTGTCATCTCGCGATAAAAGCGATAAACTCCCGCCGGTGACGTATACTGCGCGCGACACACCTGCAGTTCAACTCACGTGCGAGCCATGCGCAAACAACAAGCATGGCGGAAGGTGGAGGAGACGTGCCCCAAGACCTGGTTCCTAAAAGAGGCTCCAGCTCCGTTATCTGGAACTGGTTTGGATTTAAAAAGTCTGATACGGAGCAGAAAGTCGTAATATGCAAAGTTTGCAGACAACTTGTGACGACAAAGGAAAGCAACACTACCAATTTATTCCACCACCTCAAACTCAAACCGGAATATGATGCTGGTCAGAAGATGCGCTGCGATGCAGCAGAAGCCTCGACTTCGAAAACCTCTGTTAAGAAACTGACTGCCACTCAAACAACGACGCGTTTGCTCATTCCACACCATATGACAGCCAAAGCAAGCCATGGAAAGAGTTAACAGAGAGGTATTTCAGTTTTTATTTTCTTGTTAAATTTATTGAAATTATTTATTTTTATTTCATTGTTTAGTATGCTGACGATCCTGCTTGTCTTATTTGTACATTCTTGCACAAAGACGTATTTCAGGTTTTACATGTTTGTTAGAATTTATTGAAATTATTTATTTCTATTTTAGTATTTAGATTTTTCTGTTTTTTTCCCTTTATTTATCATGCCATTTGCACATTTTTGTAGCCCAACAGCAAAAAAAGGTTGTTACAGGTTTTTATAACATTTGAATTTTATTTTTAGTGAAGTGAGTGTAATGTATGTTAGAACTTGCACTGGTATTCATTTATCCAATATATGGCATGTTCCAGCAACTGGGAATTTACACATCTATTTATATTAGGAGGTGATTACTGATTAGTTTTCATTTTCAGTGAAATACTTTTAAGTTCTGTTTCTCAATTTATCAGGTTGTATTTAAAGTTGCACTACTTTGCAACTTTTATAAGCCAAGTTCTATTTGCTGTGTAGCATTTAAATAAATGTGAAATTTGTTCTCATATTTCAGGCTTGTGTGATTTGTTTGATACATTAGGCTGATATTGTGTTTTTGTTTCCTTTTTTATCGTCACTTATCGTTATCGTGGTAAAACCTAGAAATTATCGTGATAAATTTTTTAGTCCATATCGCCCATCCCTAGTTAGCACGGTTCGGTTGTGTACAGCATGGTCCAGTTCAGTTGTACGTGCCATTTACACTCTACAGTTATCTCGGTTACCGTGCTCAGACCGACCTCAGCACGGTTTCTAAGGAGTAGTGGAAATGGAGCGATAGTAGTCATGCTAAGAGACTGTTAAGCATCAGATTGCAGGCTAGTTAACTTGGGCTAACTAACCAATCAGATTAATCAAGACTAGAGTAAGAGAAAGTAATCATGTTTGGAGATAAAAATCAAATTGGCTTTTTTTTTTTCTACCGATAAATCTTCAAAAAAAGAAACTGACTTTAAAGCAACACTTTGTACATTTTGACCCCAGCTTATTTTGAGATAAATGATTTTTAAGCATTTGCTCTGTGCAGGCTGTTCTTATTCTCAAAACTTGCACTAATAAATTTGGCATTTTTCACACTTGATCTCGGACTTTACCACTTTCTTTTTACACTTCCTCTAAAGAAATGATGACTTGCTTGGCATTACTTGGCATTACTTTGCTATTACCTCATAGATACCAGCCGTCACGTGTTCTTGTTATTTTATTTCAGAAAATGCTTAATTTTACTAAGGAAATGGAGAAAAAATTAATTATAAAATACAGGATTATTATATAACAAGGCAATAGGGTGCTATAATTTAATGGGAAATTGCTTGTATGCAACCAGAGTGAACAACTGGCCTAGAAATATAAACATATTAGTACTTTTAGTAGTAGTTTTTATATTTCAACATATTTTGGCTCATCTGGAGAGAAGGCGACTTTCACCCAGAGAAAATGAAATTAAAGGAAAAGTCTGATGATAAACAAAAAGGGTTTCTGCTTTTTGTTAAATATGGAGAATGTCATTTGGCTTTCTGCTTTCTTATGGAGTCAATTTTGTTCCATTATTGATGCAAGCAAAGAAAGGTACATTTCCACTGCAACTGGAAATAAATAAAAAATGCAATCCAGGAAAGTTTTTGCTTCATTTTCGTTTTCATATATTATATTTTCAAATACTATTATTATTTTTTGTTTGTCATTTTAAAACTTTAATTTACAGATTTTATATTTTCAATGTTTCTTCCAGATTTCTTCCTATAATTTTTTATCAGTATGCTGGATGTTAGCAACAACCTTGCTGTTGATTAAGAGCGTGTTTTTTGTGTTGGGCATAAAGTGAAAACAAGTAGATTTGTAAATTACACAAATCTGCATCCCAGAAACAGAAATTAGAAAATAAATAAATAAAATCTGAGAAAACAGTAAAGTCACTCTCAAAATCTGTTTTTTTTTAAATATAGATTTGTTTAGTTTCTTTTCTGGATTTTTGCATTTTCTTTCTAAATTTCAACTTATAAAAATGTGTTCTTTGCAACAATATTGGAACAAAATTCACTCCATACTTTCTTAAATGGATTTTAAAAACTCAAAGCTCTTTATTTTAAGGTTATCAAGACAACTGCAGCCTTTTCAGTAACAATTTTTCTCAATCTGCAAAAAATGATTAAAAGATTAACTTCTTTATTTCTGCTAATGGAGTCCAAATGTCTTTATTTAGTTACATTTATCTTTTTTGCTTCAAAAGAGGTCAAATAAACAAAGATTTAAACAGGTATTTTACTGCATGTTCAGCATCAATGTGAAACTAGCTGGATAAGGACTCAGTAGATGATAAAAACGAAAGGAATATCAGAGAAAATTGTGTTTAGCAATCCTCCGTCCCATGCAAACGTTTACCTGGGAAACGAGAGAACACAGAAAACCTCTTAAGAGAAAGGCGTCGTGGTGGGGGGGACGCCACTGATGGAGAGAGAGGAGGCGTGACAGCTGAGAGAGAGAGGAAGGGAGGACAGAGGCACAGGAAGAGAAATGACACTGTTCATTGTGTTCAGCTTTTTCCCATTGAAGGTAGAAGAGAAGCCTGATCCTCCAGGTTTACTTTGAACCCTCTGACCTTCCCCAATGCAGCCTAGAGGTTTACATGCGCTCATCTGCGCCATGAATGTTCATGTTGGGCTTTTGATTCATTATGTCCATGTTCTGCTCATAATTACACAGAAAAACCAGAAAAACAATTTAAAATAAAGGGTAAAATCTACTCGGTATATATATATATTTAGCATGAATGTAAAATGTAAAAAATGTTAAGATAAGACAAAGAAAAAAAACATAAATTGTTTTTTTTAGGGTGTTTTTTATACATCATCATTACACCACGAAAAAAAAGAAACAGGAATACATAAGAAATAAAAAATAATAAAAAACATCACAAATAACTTTGACAAACCTAAAATGAGTGGGTGTAAACCTCTGAGTGGGACTGCAGATTATTAAATACAGTTCAATACGTATAGAAATCATTTAACGCAAAACTGTTATTAATTTAAAGAATTAAAGCTGTTAAAGTGGGCACAGAAAGTCTTATTTCCACTTTGCAGTGTTTGCTTGATTGCAGATATTTGCTAAAATAAATAAAAAATCTTTTGTTTTTCATTAATGAATGTTGCATTGTCATAAGAACTCAGAGCATGGCCATGGGAAGTAGGGGTGCTAGAGGTGCTGCAGCACTCCCTAGTGGGGAGAGGAAGATACAAAAAAATAGTCTTCCCCCCTTTTTCCTCCAAGCTCGGGTCCTCTTCTGGACTGAGATGTCTGATGTATTTCCAGGGATCTGCTGTAACCACTCCTCCAGTTTGGGGGCCCCTGCCCCAAGGGCCCCAATGACCATATTGGGGCCCTATTTGTACAAATAGTACAATAGTACAAAATTGAAATAGGTCTGAATACTTTCTGTACCCACTTTAGATTTTTGTGATCTTATAGAATAAAACACTGAAAAAAACCCCATCTGGAAACAAAGTAATTATAAAATATTTAATTTCCCCGTTTATATCATATGCTGCTGGTTTAATAAAAAACTAACACAGGTGGAATGGTCAGCCAAAACATCTATATCCCACATTTAAAACTGGATGAAGCCGGATGTGTTTAGCACAGCAGATAAATCACATGATGATGTTTATGAGAAGAGCAAACAGCAGAGAGGAAAGAGTCCGACAGAAAGCCGAGGACAGGAAGATTTAGATTTAGAGTTAGCAGTGTTTATTCGAACTCCATTGGATGTATGAGGTACACTAAATATTTGTGCATTTTTATATGCAATATTTGTTTTGCTTAATAATAATATTTCTGTTTAGCTGTGACTCCATCCTGGAGAGAAATATCAGCTGTGCTGCTGCCATCAACACCTTTGTTTATAGATATTGGAGATTGGCCAATATCTGTTTCTCTGACTGTGACTGGCTGGATGTGCTCTCTTCATCCTCTGACATGGGAGCTGCCTTGGAGCTCGTCTGCCTGGCTGTGTGTTTCCTGGAGGGGGCCGCCTTTTACAGCTGCTTTTTGTATCTCTGCTTCTGTCTCCTTGAACCCCAGTCGGCCTCGGCAGATGGCCGCTCAAACTGAGCCTGGTTCTGCTGCAGGATTCTTTGTGCTTAAAGGGAGTTTTTCCTCTCCACTGTCGCTACAAGCATGCTTAGTGTGAGGAATTGCCTTCAAGTCAATGAGTCGATGCAATCGACTGGTTTTCCTTAGATAGAAAACTTGAATCAATCTGACTGGATGATTGGGTTGAATTGTAAAGTACCTTGAGATGACATGTGCTGTGAATTAGTGCTATAGAAGTAAACTGAATTGAACTGAATCAATAATAATAATAATAATAGAACTTTATTAATCTCACACTGGAGAAATCCACCTGCCCGTCCCCTTGGGGAGCAGTGGGCTGGCATTTTGCAGCACCTGAGGAGCAGTGCGGGGTTAAAGGTCGTCCTCAGGGACCGAGGTGCAGGCTGTGGGGATCAAACCAGGTACTTGCAACCTTCTCAGAGCACAAGCGCACTGCTCTAACTACTAGGCCAACACTCCAACAATTAAAAGTAATTTGTACATAATAACTCAAGAAATAACATCCCTTGAGTTATCATTAAGCAAAACAAATCAAATAATGCATTAAATATACACAATTATGTGGTGTACCACATTGCATCTTCAAAGTTCCCCGACAAAACAACCTGTTCCGCTTGATGGTGCCGACACTCAAATCATTCAATAATGTGTATGAAATAAAGAAATAATCACTGATCTTTGTTTATTCATTGGATTGCTGATTGGCCTAAACAACTGAGGTCACCTGACGGCATCTTGGTACTCCCCACTTTTGTGGAGTTGTGCCATAAAATGCCTGTAATATAAATTAATTACCATAACAGTGTAATCAATATATGTATATTACATGCACATCATCAATTTAGCACTTTTGGCATATCATCAGATAGTGTGTGTGGAGTTGTGGGTCTAATATTCCTAATTTTGTTGTGAAGGATTTGTATAATACATTATATTACATGATTTATAGACTTCATTGACTTTAAACTGTATATGCAATGTGATGCGCCTTTTTTATCATAAATTACAGTGATGCAAAAACCATCTAAAAATTAGAAAAAAATGTCTTAAATTAAGTGTATTTACCATTAATTTGAGTAGGTAAATAAGATAATTTGCCAATGGAATGAGTATTTTAGTCTTAAATAAGATAATTAGATAAATTTTACTTGAAAGAAGACAATGCATTTGTGTTTTCTTATTTTAAATGTAAATTGTCTTGTTCCATTGGCAAAGTGTCTCAATTACCTCCTCAATTCAAGAAAAAATGCACTTATTGCAAGAAAAAATGACTTATTTAGATTTAATTTTTTTGCAGTGTAAGTGTGTCGAAGTGATGAATTTATTTATTAAACCCCCTGAAAATAAGAAAATCATCTTTCTGTAGCGCAAATATCGTTTACATTGCGGCCAGTGTAACTAGGGAGTAACAATATGGCGGCCGGTGGCTTCACTCCACCCTGTACTACCAACTGGTTATCAGCAATCCAGTGAATAAATAGAGATCAGTGGAAATAACATCCCTTGAGTTATTATACAAATTATTAAGTAAAACAAATGAAATAATGCTTCTAAAAATGCTAAATAATGTGGTGTTCTACATGTAGTAACACCATTTCACATTTTGGAGCAATGTAATTTTTTTTTTTTTTTGCAAACGTCAACCAGAAGGGGGCAGCAATGTGCTGCATTAACCTCATCTAGCAGCAATGTGGAGCTTTGACAAAGATCCAGCTGAGCAGCTCCTGGACTGACCCCAGCCCAACACACCAGAAACACAGCAGGTGCTGCTCAGACACACCTCCTCCTCCTCAATGTCTTCTGGAAGGAGTTCAGTTAAAGCCTGAGTCAGCAGATTATGTCTTCACAAGGCAAAAAATGTAAGTCATTTTTTCTTAAAATAGGAGCATTTTTTTCTTGAGTTGAGGAGGAAAGTGAGACATTTTGCCAACGAAACGAGACAATTTACATTTAAGATAAGAAAAAACATTTGCTTTGTCCTATTTGAAGCGCATATTATCTATTTATCGTATTCTAAGAGTGAAAATACTCTCCCATTGGCAAACTGTCTCATTTACCTACTCAAATTAAGGGTAAATACACTTAATTTAAGTCATTTTTAGTTATTTCTATATCATTTTTCCAGTGCAGGTGTAGTCTGCTGGATTTTCTCCTTGGATAGCTCAGCAGAGCTAGCGTTAAACTCTAAACAAGTCTTTCTTAAACTAAACTAGATAATAAAACCTAGTTTGGTTCGTGGATTTCTGGTCATTATTTTGGCTTTTGTCAAATATAGGGATTCAGCGATTCATTGCAAGAAAAACCAAAATTTCAATTATTTCTTATTGAGGATAAAAAAAAAAAAAAAAAAAAAAAAAAAAAAAAAAAAACTATGTTTATATTGTATTTTACTATAAATCTGGTGTTAGAGCTGCATAGTTACATAGGCTTGTCTGAAATTCTGCCTCAATCACTATATAGGGCACAATATGTTGGTTATGACATTTTATATGAGCGTCCAAACATCTAGAGCAGAGGTCACAGATTAGCGGACCAGGGTCCGGATCCGGACCCACCTGCTGGCTAATCCGGACCCAACCAGTTTAAAACAGTTATAAATGACCACATGTTGTCCAAAGACTGTCTAACTTCACTTGAGCCGCTTCTCCTGTTAATACGGTAAAGCCCTCAGAGCGTCCGTGTCCTCTTCTACAGGACAGAGCAGCTCCATCTGACTGCGGAACTGAGTCCAACGTGAACAGAATCAACAATAAATATGGATCCAGGCTCAGAATGAGCGCCTTGATATGTGCTTTAGAATGGCTTAGTCTCCATTCAAACCCAGGTTTAAAGCCTTGCAGGGCAGCATAAAGCCCACTGCTCTCATTAAGACAGAAAAAAAAAAAAAAAAAAAATTAGTTCAGGTGTTTTATAAGATGTGTGAATCAGGAAATAGTCTATATACTAGGGATGGGAAACGAAAACTGGTTCCTGTTCAGAAACGGTTCCGTGTTCCAGTTCCATGGCACCGTTTGGCAGCTCGCTTAACGATTCTCTTATCATTTCCAGGCACCTGAAAAAATGTTTCACAGTAGGCTTATCTGCTGCTGCCCGTGTCCTCACTAAGACTAAGAAAGTAGAGCACATTACCCCAGTTCTAAAGTCCTTCCACTGGCTCCCTGTATCTCAGAGAATAGACTTTAAAATACTTCTGTTAGTCTATAAATCTCTGAATGGCTTAGCACCTAAATCCATCACAAACTTGCTATCAGTGTATCAACCCTCCAGACCACTCAGGTCTTCTGGCTCCAGCCTGCTCTGCATACCTAGAACCAGAACTAAACATGGAGAAGCAGCATTTAGTTCCTATGCTCCACTTA